ATGCTTCTGCCTGTGTGCTGTCTCCACAAGCAGTAAGGCATAACTTGCTGAACTCTCTTCCTTTGGGCTGTGGATCCTGTGAGCATGAGGCTGTGGGTCAGGCTGGTCTGGCTCCAAGAGTGTCTGCTGGGTGCAGTCAGATGACCTCAGCTTTCCCTTGCCTCAGAAATGAGGCAGCTTAGCTGTGGGTGCCTGCTGGTGTGTGGTGTAAGCTGCTGCTACACCTGCCAAGTGAAAAGGGCTCCTGCTAACTGGTGTTACAAACTACTCTGCAAGTCAGGATCTGGAGCTCAGGGGTCCACCCAGTCTATGAAAAGGGTCATCTTTAAGATGCAGGGAGTGTGTATGATGATAAAGGATAAGTAACAAGTGACTAGACTTGGCTGCTTGCAGAAGAGTGAGCCTATACTCCATAGTGTAAAGTGCAGCCTTGACATACTCTTAAGAAGAATGGGCTTTGTGCTGTGTTGCACCAGCCTCAGCTGCTTGGACACTTGATGGTAACTCCTTGGATTACTGCTGTTGCAGCAGCTTCCTGAAGAGTTGGTAGACTTTGTTCTCCAGTTTACTGAAATGAAGTGCAAGGCTTCTGTGAACCCCTCACACCCTTATAACATGAGGGAAGAACCAAAAGCATGTAGTCCTATGGCCTGGCATAGGTGACTCGCTAAACATTGCAGCTTCCTGAAGGGCAGCTTATCTGCTTTACCTGCTCCAGTTATCACTGGGGGACTTCTGTCAGTATGGTCTGAATTTGCATAGGCTCCAGGTACAGTTCCACTGATGTGGCTGTCTCTCCTGTGGAGATGCAACTGGGCATAGCAGTGGGGTTCTTCCAAGGCAGCTGCGCCATATCCATTACTGTCATCTGAGGCAGAGCTGTGTTTGTTTGGTGGGGTGGGAGAGACCTTAGAACACCAGTAGGGAGAAGCCTGTTTCTTGAAAAATGCTCATGTTTCTGGCATGGCAAAGCAAGGACTGCACTTGACCTGGATATTGCCTCTAACAGTTCTCCAACCAGTTAAGAACAAGGGTGAAGAGGCGATGAGGTGAGTTGATGCCTGCTGTGCAGGGGTCAGTCCATTTGATAATGGATTAATTATAAAATACTCCAGGTGTAAGTACTCATCACAAGCGTACTTGCTGTGATCGTAACCCATGGTATCTTAACTGACTCATTACTAGCTCACTTCCTAATGCAGAGAGATTCAGCATGTTAGTGCCCTGGAGATCCTCCTCCTGTTGCAGTGTGAAAACGTGCTCCCCTGTGGTGGGACACAGGAGGAATCACTGGCTCTGAATGGACCAAATGCTGCCAGAGTGTGTGTGGCTGGTTTGGAACCTCTGTTCCTGGGCTGCGCATGTCTGAATGGATTGCGACTGCTGAAACTGCATCTGTACAAACGTTTCCCTGGCTTGAAGGCCCCTGATGTGGTCACTGTCCATAGCTGCACATCTGTCTGTGGGGCTTTGTAGAATGGATGCAAGGCTTTGGTAACAGCCTTTCTGTACTGAGGAAGTGTCATGTGAGGTGACTTGCAGTTAACTTAGCTGCAAGATTAACATTCTGAGTGCATGACCTTACTGAGCACTAACTATAGCTATGAAAGATTGGTCCTAATACTTGATCTAAACAGTAGACTGCTCAAGTACTGAAAGTGAATATTGGAGGCGAAGCTCTACTGAAAATCCTGGTAGTGGCAAGACTACAGCTAGTCTTCAGTCCTTACTGAAGCCTACATGGCAAATTACTTTCTAGTTCATATTGGAGCTGCACAGCTACACTACCTCTGCTACCACTTGTGACTAACAGAAGGTAACTGTCATGAGGAGGCACCAGGCAGCACATCCACAGCCCAGTGGGAGTGAATTTTGCCCCCAGGAGCAGTACTAAAGCAATTCTGCCTTCTGAGCTGAAAGTTACTCTGCAGGAGTATTTCAAAATTAAGTTAACCTTTAAAACAGGCTTACTGAGGGTAGGTGGTCTTGAATGATGTGTAAAGCAACTTCTCCATATTATAACACCACTGAGCTGATAAACAGCACAGTTCCTGGCCATAGACCAGGATGGCTTACCTCTGTGATACAGCAAGGTAGGCATCATGCTTCTCCAGATGCCAGGCAAGTGTTTTGATAGCTCTGAGTGCTTTAAATGTTGCAGCTTTATTTGTCTGTATGTTTGAGGTGGAGCTGTATGATACATGGATTCTTGGTGTATAATAGTAATACAGCTCTTGTTCCACTCTCACTGTCTTCTGCACAGATCTCATCAAACCCTGTTCACTGAGAAGGTTTTGGAAATCATGCCCTTCCAACTGATTGGGGGTATTCAGATGTAGCATATGAAGTGTATGTGCTTCAAATGTTCACAGCTACCAAGGGGTATGAGTTGGGATGTGCAGGAAGATTGACCCAAGTGCTGGACAGCTGTGGCATTAGATGTGTGGGTAAGGTGGGAAGGGAACATTGTAATACTGGGGTGAAAGGAGAACTTCTCAGGCTAGTTGAAGAGCAGTAAGACATGCTGCTTTGTAAGACAGTGAGATGCAGCTGCAGGGGACTCAGGATAAGCCTGTGCGTCAGAACGCTGGTAAAGAGTTCATGGGAGCAGATGTGCCAAGCTCTGGAACTGCATGTGTAGCACTTGTGACTGTCAACCAGTGGGAGTGTAATAGATCTTCAGTGCCATCTGAAACTGTCTTGTGAAAACTAGCTGCCACAGAGTCCATCTAGACTTGATCTGTTTATGTTTCCAGACCAAGTTTGAGGCATAAGCTATTCCCTGTTCCCTAGAATTGAGACTTAACAATGGGGAATTGACAAACCTCTCCCCAAAAGCTCAAGCAGGCTGGCTTTCTATAAATGGGATTACAAAATCAGCTTCTGTAATGCATCAGGGTTAATTGCAACATCTTTAACTGCAGGCATGGAGGAAATAATGACTGTTGTAACTTTAAATAGTGAACTTCCCTCATGAGCCTCTGTTTCTGGAGAGGTTTATGAAAGATAAGTAGATTCTGCTAAATGCTACAGCCAGTCTAGAAGTCCAGATAGCCTGAATCTTGATTCCACCTAATTCCAGTCCTTGGAAGATGCTTCATCCAACAGAAAAGGTTCATAATTCAAGTTTGTGATTTCTTTCTAGGCTTCCTAGGGCTGGACCATTAAGCAGGACTGTCACTGATAATTGCTGGCTAAGACTGTCTGCTGGTTTCCAGGCTCAGGTTGCATTTGCAGGTTAAACCTGTCCTCTGCTCTTGGCTCAGAATTCCTACTAACCTGGATTCTAGTTCTGAATGGCACTGAATAGCCCTTTACATCTGGCTCAGTGACAGTCAGGGTTCAAGAGCTTTTCTAGTACAGAACCATTTTGTAGCTGATAATGAGGCTTCCCCTTCAAGCTTTTGTAACTAAAACTGAGCTTTGGATAGTGTTTGTTGTTAGTGCAGAGGTGTTACCTTTGTTAATCTCCTGCAGTTTCTTGGTGCAAAGCCAGGAGGATTACCCCTGTTCTTGACTGCTCAAAGACAGGCTTTATGTAAATGCTGGACAGGAGGAAGCATGGTTTTGGTAGTGGCAGGGCTACAGGTGTGGCTTCTGTGACAAACTGCTGGTAGCTTCCCCTATGTCCGATGGAGCCAAGGCCACCTGGCTCCAAGACAGACCCACTGCTGGCCAAGGCTGAGCCCATTGGTGGTGGCAGCTTCTCTGGGATAAGGTATTTAAGAAAAGGGGGACTGTGTAACAGCAATTCTGGACAGAGATGATTGAGAATGAGAGAAACAGTTCTGCAGACACCCAGGTCAATGAAGGAGGGGAGGAGGTGTTCCAGGTGCCAAGGCAGGGATCTTCCTGCAGCCCCTGGAGGCCTGTGGTGAGGCAGGCTGTTCCCATGGAGGTCCCCATGCAAGAGCAGGGGAATACCTGAGGGGGCTGTGATCCCATGAGAAGCCCACACTGGAGCCATCTGTTCCTGGAGGACTGCACCCCATGGGAGGGACCCAGGCTGGAGCAGCAGGGGTTGAAGATTCCTCCAGCTGAGGAGGAAGGAGCCAAAGAAACAATGTGTGATGAACTGACCACAACCCCCCATTCCCTGTCCCCCTGTGCTGCTGCCAGGGAGGAGGTAGAGAAACTGGGAGTGAGGTTAACCCTGGGAAAAAGAGGAGTGGGGGGAGAGATGTTTTAAGATCAGTTTTAGTTCTCATTAACCTATTCTGATTTGATAATAAATTTTCCCCAAGTTGAGTCTCGTGTGCCTGTGATGGTAGATGGTGAGTGATCTCTCCCTGTTTTCTCTTGGCCTTTCATATTTTCTCTCCCCTGTCCTGCTGAGGAGGGGGGGTGACAGCAGTGTTGGGGGGCACCTAGTATCCAGCCAGGGTCAACCCACCCACAGTGAGTTCGTTGCTATCTCAGTATGTGTGCTGAACCTGACATGGTGTGTTTAACCCCTGGCTGAAGCATAGGCAGAGAGCTATATGGAAGAGGGCCCATGAAGGTGACTTGTTAAACACTGGGTGCATCTGAGAATTCAGCCCAGGTGGCTCAAAGTTCAGTGACTGTAAACCTGGCTTTCAGCTGGGTTATGTTCTGCTCTGCTGTGTTCCTCTGGGTCGGTGAGTAGAGCCTTATGGTGTTGGCTCTGTGAGGGCACAGACTCTGAAGAAATGAGTTTGGATTCGGTCCCTGGGGTTTGGTCTCCCAAAGCGGGGGGAGTGGGGGTCTGCTGGGGGGTGTACCCTGCTGCAGAGCTGGCTTAGAGAACGTATCTTCTTAGAGTAGTGTTTGAACTGCACTTTTTATTGGCCTGGCTTTGCTCTGGGACTCTGGACTGTCACTTCCTCATCCCACAGGGGAATATTCCTGGCTGATAACTCAGTCATGTGGCCATGCTAGTTTTGCACAATTCCTCCTTGTGCTGACCTGATTGTTGTGATGCTGCAGCCTAGTGAGGGACGTGATACTTGGGATGTCTAACGCATTTTTTTCCTCTTCCAGCCTTGGGAGCTGCATATGGGACAGCAAAGAGCGGCACAGGTATTGCAGCCATGTCTGTCATGAGGCCTGAGCTCATCATGAAGTCCATCATCCCTGTAGTCATGGCGGGTATTATAGCAATCTATGGCCTCGTCGTGGCCGTACTCATCGCCAATGCGCTCTCACCTTCCATCACGCTATTCAAGTAAGTTGCTGCATCTGTCAGTTCTGCTTTGGTTGTCCTGTCAGTAGCTGGATGTTGCTGAATGGGTTGGGTGGGTTTTGCTCAAGACTCCTGGAAGGGGTCAGTGCTAAATGCTCCTAACCTGGTCTGAGGAGTATGGACTGGATATCAGCTGTCCTGCTTGATGCCTTAGCCTCAGTGGTAGTGCTGCAGTATTAGCTGACAGATCAGACATACCACAGCTGGAGACAATGCAGGGGTTTATGGCTTGAAAGAACCTGTGTGCAGGCAGTACTGGGATAAGCTGCACTTGTTTCATGGTACCAGATTCTAGACCTGGAAAACACAGGTCTTTCCAGGACTGTCTAATCAGACTAAGTAGTTCTCCTGTTGCCTGGGAGATGCAACTGAATAATTAATATTGCTTGCTGCTTTATGTGGTGGTAAGTCAATCCTCAAGCCGTACATCGGGCCTTTACACCAGCTACAGTCTGAAACTTAATCCTGTCTTGGCTTTTGAGAGTAGCTGGAACTGGCTTGATTGAGACCTCTCAGAATAAAACAATGCTTCTGAGGTCTAAGTGTAGACATCTGTCTGTGTCGCTACATGTTGTAGCTGATAAGCAGTGTGGTTGGCCTAATAAGTCATGTTCTAAGAAACAAGGGGCAAGTGCTCCTTTGCAGTTACCAGGTGGCCAGATACTGATAGGGACTGCTTTTCAGGTACTCCTGCCTGGAAAACCAGACCTTGCCTGTCTATGCAGTGCAAGAGCCCTAATTATCACCTGGATGTGCTGTATAAAAAGGTTGCTAAAGGTGGGAGACAAGCAGCTATTAACAGGCTGCACAGCCCTGTGGGACAGGCATTACTGCATGTGAAGCCTGCAGCTGACCAAAGTGGCTACAGATGAGCTGGGTGGCCATGGAGCTGCAGGCCCAGTAGCTGAGCTTAATGTATGAGCCACACTTGAGTATCAGCTGAAGATCTTGCATAGCTGCCTGGGGTTTTTTAAGCATCAGAGGTAGGAGTCTCTGCTTTGTGAGACATACTGTGCTTGCTTCAAGAGTAGGGAACCTCTTTCCTGCAGAAAGAGCTTCTATTTAAATGTTAAACCTTAATTCCTTTGGAGAAAGCAAAAAACAAATTGGAGGCTGGTCTGAAGCTGAAGGGTTGGGTGTCCTGTTGCTTACCATTGAAACTCTTCATCTCTGTCCCACAGGAGCTTTCTTCAGCTGGGTGCTGGCTTGAGCGTGGGCCTCAGTGGCCTGGCTGCTGGCTTTGCCATCGGCATTGTGGGTGACGCAGGTGTCCGGGGGACAGCACAGCAGCCCAGGTTATTTGTGGGCATGATCCTCATCCTGATCTTCGCTGAAGTCTTGGGGCTGTACGGCCTCATTGTTGCCCTTATCCTCTCCACAAAGTAAACATTGCAGTATGATGTAAAGAGATGTAACAAATCCACGTTTCAAACAAAAAGCTCCAGAATGAAAATGGTCTCTCCAATGTGTACAGTTGTCCCAATTTGGTAGTTGATCTCTTGTAAATGCGCAATGTACGTTAGTGACTTGTCTGTCCTGTGTGTACTTCAATATTAAATTGGATGGGCTGCTCCAAGCCTGGTGCATGGCTTGGGGTGGCCTATGTGCAGTTTTCCACCCATTGCTGTTAGTACTTTATGTATAAATATGAACTAGAAATGTAATTTTTTTCTCTTCACTGGATGTTTATTTATAAAAGACTTGACATGTTCATACATCTATGGAGCAAGGATTTTCAATTTCCCATGCTATATATATTAATCTTATATATAGGTAGATTACACTGTGGGGTCAATTGTAAGTGCAGAGAATTCCTTTGGATGTAACTTTGATTCTAAAGATTGCTGTAGTGTCCTGGTATTGGAGTATGAGAATCTCGTGTTTTATTACAGCAATTGTCCGAAACACTCCCGTGTTTCAGTAGTAACTGCGTATGCTCCGGCATCAGAGTTGTGCACCCAGTGTTGGGTTACAAACTTAAACCATGTTTCCAAATAAAACTTCCTCACTACACTGCTGTAATTAGTCCTCTGCCTCTGATTTCGGGCTTTTCTTGCTCCCATAGGAAGAGGAGGGAAGGGCTTCCTTATGGGGAGTCAGGTCTTGAGGTGACTGGGTACCAGCAGGAGTGATGCTGTCACTGCTGCTAACTGAGCCCCTCTTTCTTTGCTGTTCCCAACTGCTGCCCATGGGCAGTGCTGTGGGCAGCAGAAATGCCAGGCTGCTCAGGGGCTGTGCTCACTGTGACCAAGTGCTGGAGCATGGTAATACCCTGTTAATGGGCTGTGCAGCATGGCCTGAGCAGACTGGTGCAGGCTTCAGCAGGTGACAAGGAATAGGAGCTGCTTGAAGAGCCATCAGGCACTTGTCCTTGTGAGGGCTCTGGAGAAACTTGGCTGGCTGGAAAGCTGCTCTGTTGACAGCAACTGCCTCTGAAGTACCTGAACAATACCCTCATCAACAAAATGGGTGCATTCAAGAACTCCTATTTTTAACTTGTGAATCAGGAGCATTTGAGCTGAATTCTCTAGCAACTAGAGAATGCTGTGGCAACCTTGCCTTGTCCTGAGGATTCATGAATGGTGCAAAGCAATATAAGGCTGAACCTCATGGAGGAAGAACAGTAGAGTTTGTTGCAGTAAGCTGTGAGCTGCCTGGCATTGGGGGTGGGCTGTCCTGCTGGTTTTGTGTCCTGGAGGGGCTTTTCCTGGTAGTCAGCAGTGGTGGTGCCTGGGCTGTATAGAAGTGTGAGCTGATATAAGGAAAATCCCAGATACCTGCTGAAGCATTGCCTGGGGCGTAAGGGAGAGGAAAAATTCCTGATCTGAATTGTCTTGATCATTCTAATTCAGATGCTGAGCCTGCTACTTTTGCTGAAGAGAAGATTTTACTCAAGGGTTATAAACATTTATGGAAACTACAGCATAATTCTCTCAGCACTGATTGCAGTGAGTGCTTTCTCAGGGCTGCTGTGTGGAGCTGATGGAGCTTGCAGCTGGGAGGGTGTGAATCAGAATGTGCCACAGACATCCTGCAGTTGTGGCAAGAGGAATTGTATGCTGTCTGTGTAGCATGACAGGAGAAGGTCCTGGCTGAGGCTGCAACTATGTTTAAGGTCTGGGTTTACCTTCTTTAAAAGGAGAACCTGCTGCCAGCCTTGTTTCTTGCCAATTTACAAGAATATGAGCAAACTGCATTTAAGAGAGTAACTAAATGCTGGTGGTAGCTCCGATCTCTAAAGAGAAATAAACAACCAATCCATAGGAACTCCTAATTTCCCACTGTAGCTTGGTGATGCTTGCAGAAGGCTGCTAGGAGGCTCAGGATAGAGATGGATACTGAGGTAACTAAATGCAGGCAAGAGGCAAGATCCCACTGATTTTGGTTCATGCCTTGGAGCATCAAGCCTTTCCTGATGCATAAACCCATGCAAATCAGCATGAAGCAGAAGCTGGGGTTAGTGTGCATAGGTGGGGGATTGCTTCCTCCTGAGTGCACATACACTGGGAGCAAAGTGAACAGTTTTAGTGTGTTGCCTCAGCCAAGCATTTTTATCGACAGCAACACTCCAGTTCCTCGCTGGTGACTCCTAGGTGAAAACTTGCATTTCGAGTCCTTCACTGATGCTGTTACATCAGCAGATTTCTCAAGTATTCAGGGCACTGAGAAAATTGCAGGCCCTTTGGTCCCTTTCCTTAGTTTCCTGGCAGGACCATGCTAGATTGGAGCGCAGTCCCATCTGGCAGGGACTGACCTGGGATTTGGTTGGGAAGAGGGGAAAAGGCAGCCTCCAATGACAGACTCATAGTGCCTGATTAAAAGAGGTGGTGTCTGCTGGCACATAAATAGTGCTCTGTAACGTGGCAGATTGTGCCTGTGAGTGTGCACTGCAGAGTGAGTCAGCCCTGCGGAGGGAAGGGAGCAGCTCTGCAGCAGCAGCTCCATGTCCATTAGCAGGTGGTTCAGACTCGGTAGGGTTAAGTGATGCTGCTGCCAGGTGCTGCCGGCATGGACAATGCCTTCATGGAGCTGCTGACCTTAATCTTTTTTAACTCTCTGACTGGTTTGCCGTTGGTTAGAGTTCTTTCACCCCAAAGGCTGCAGATTTTTCCTTTTCTTTTTCACTGCTCTGGTGGAGAAGCATTCTTAAGCAGTAGGATTTTATGTGTGATTGCTCAGGGATTGTCTTTCCTTGGGAGACCCGGTTTAAGAGAAGTGTAGTAACCTGGAAAAGGAAGCAAGCTTTGGGGAAATAAAATTCTCCTTAGGAGAAATTGGTGCCAGAAACTAAGCTGCTGTTTCAAACTACAGGGTTACAGCAATTCTAATGGAAAGAACCCTCAACAAATCTTGTTTCCTTTGCAGTCTAACTATGGGGATATTGATTTCATGCCTTTGTGCTGTTTCCATCCAGTCTGATTGTACAAACCATCACTGTTCTCAGCTGGGAATTACCTCTGGCACAGAGGACTTGCCACCTTTGCTCTTCATGTATCTTTCTCCTCTACAGGTATTGACCATTTTTTTCTCTTGACATAATTAACTCAAACCCAAATTAAGTCTTCCCAGTGACACCCTGGAGTGGGAATTTTCTGTTTCAGGATCCAAGGATTGTGCCCTGAAAAGCATCTCCATTTTTGTTCCTATTACTCACTAATGAAGGCTGTTCCTTTTCTCTGCAAGCGACGCTTTATTTAGCTTCTGAGACCGTCACAGCTCTGCCACTCGTATCACTGAGTTTCCGTGGAGCTAATTCTGTATCACAGCACCAAAGCACACAGGATACTTCCTCCCCAACGTCACAGTGCGTAAGTCCTGAAGGTTTCCTGGGGGCCGCGCTGCAGGGTCCCGAGTGCCTCCCACAAGGTATCTGCAGGCACTGACAGTTCACACTGCTCCACTGGGAGCAGAAGCTGTGTAGCAGGAGGCCAGGACGAGGTGCCTGGAGAATCAGTGGCTCACATTTGCTATCTTCCTTTTGCTGATGGGACAGTGCTTCCTTTTGCACTCACCACAGGCTCAAGACCTGGCTCTGGCATTTACCAAGGGGATCCATGTGGCTATTTCAGTCCTGGGCCCTTTTTTGGCACCTTGAACCACCCTGTCCATGCTGTTCAATCTGCGCTTTCCTCCTTTGCCTTTGGGAGAGGGAAAAGGGGTGACCTCAAGAAGCAGAGAGCAAATATCATCCACGTACACCTAATGCCTTTGGCTACCTGAGGTAGGCTGAGGACAAATCATAGGGAATCACATATATTCCTGAGATTGGCAGCACATTCTCAATTCACAGATGTAAACAACCTCCTGGGCTCTTGTGTGCATTAGGACCATTTCTTGGACCTCCTTGCAAATAGAGCATGTGCGAATGCACATGAAAACTAGAAGCTTGGCTGCGTCTCCAGCAGCACTTTTTGGCAGCAGTGCTTGCCCAGCCCTCCCTATGGACACCCAGACCTTGTTCATATCTGCAGCACACACTCCCCTGTTCCTCCCAAGTGCACTGCTACAACTTCTCATGCTGCCAGGCAGTGAATGTGATGGGGAACTCGGCCAGGTTAAAAATAACTCAACCTGAAGAAAAATAACACTTGCTAAAGAAAGTGCAGGTGAAACCTCAGCTTGTGATTCCCTCAGCCTCTTACTGGGGCAATAGAAAGAACATTGGAGAGGGAGTGTGCAATGACTGGTGATGCAAGACAGGGTTAATTTAAAACTGAGAAAATCAAAGGAGAACATCCAAAGGGATAAAACATAAGCAGCACAGATACATGACATGAAGTCGTGATGGGTGACATACCTACAGCATCGATGAGGCCAGTCTGCGCACCTTCCCTCTCGGTACAGGCTGTCCTGTTCTCCAGCAGTGCAGAGGGAGGTCCGGGCTGGTTTCCAGCTCTGATTCAGTGGTTTGCTTTGGAGCTTGCAGCCCAGAAGAACGCTGGATCTCTTCGTCACCCGAGCGCTGGGGAAGCTGTGCCCACGGGCAGGCCCCGTGCACGCAGTGGATGTTACTGTCTGTAAGCACTATCTGCATTTACCTCAGTGTCTCTTCCACTGCCAAGAAAAGTTACTGTCACAAGGCTGTTAGCTTGTATGTCCCTATGATGTGCCCTGTTTTGGCCATGAGCTGTTTGGGTGCTGTAGCTGCCTTTTATCAACTGAATTCAGTTCAGCAGCTTGGAAGGGTGCTTCCTTTCTCACAGAGTCATTGGCTCAAATGAGCAGGCCTGAGATACGCTTTTAGGATTTATTATTTTCCAGTTTTGGAGTCTCCTTGACTTCACCTGTACTGAAGCCACAAATCATTCTGAGATGTGCTCCTGGGCGCCCCTGATGTGCAGAGTCTCAGCCATGATGAGGAAAACCTGCCTGAAGCCATTTTTAACCTCCAATTCCCAAAACAGCGCTGCACAGAGTTTTCCTGGCCTCAACTAGCATCATTCCCAGCTTTCCATTTCAGGGGCCTTTGCTGGCATCCTGCTGACAGTGTGAGGCAGCTTGTGCAGCAGACAAGCACTGACATCACGGGGTGATAAGTATGGCATAAAACCTTGTTAAAACTCAGTTCCCAACTGGACAGGGATGTTATGTTCCCCATTTCTCTTTCCTTGGTTCATCAGCAGCACCCACATCAGCACCTGCTTGAACGCAGGCCTTGATGAGACACTTGACTCTGCGACACTGTGGGACACCTTCCTTGGCTGGAAGATGCTGGGTAGTAGTGAACCTGCAGCTTGAGCTCACTCTAGTCTGCCCTGGGGCTGAGCGATGGTCCTTGGGTGATGATGGCTGTAGCCACCTGCGCTGAGGAGCTCCAGTTCAGAGCCAGTGGACACAATAGGAGCAGATTGTGGCCCAAACCGTTCCCATCAGACCACGAGACGGGAGGCAGCAGGAGGTGTGTGCAGACTGGCAAGAAGCAGGGCCTGGGGCGGTGGTTGTGACAGCAGCTCTTCCCCACCCCTCACCAGCTTCCCTGCGCTCTCGGGTCTGGAGTTCTGGGTAAGGCATATTCCC